TAATTAGAACATGGTTAATATAATGGTAAATAGGACCCAAGAATTTTTTTTTCTTTTACTTTTTACAGCCTGATTCCATCTCCTCTGAACTTACTAAAGGCAAATAACAAATAGAAAATGAACAAAGGGAGGGAAATGAGAGTGCAGTTCAACAGGCCTAAATAGGTGTCATAATCATTATAATAAATATTTGTTAACCTACATTTTTCCATATTCAGTACTTTCCCTTTATCCATGGTTTTGCTTTTTGCAATTTCAGCTACCCTCTGTCAACCACGTCGAAAAATATTCAATGGAAAATTCCAGAAATAAACAATTTATAAGTTTTAAATTTCATGCCATTCTGAGTCCTCCTCTGCCCCACCCCAATCCCAAACCATCCCTTTGTCCAGCGTCTCCACACTGCATACACTCCCCACCCATTAGTAAATGCTCACTCACCTGTTAGGCACTTAGGGGCCCCACTGGGTTATCAGATCGACTGTTACAGTGTCACAGTGCTTGTATTCAAGTAACCCTTATTCTACTTAATAACACCACATTCACATGTTTTATTACAGTATGATCGTATAATTATACTATTAGTTGTTGTTGCTGATCTCTTACTATGGTTAACATAAATAAAACTTTATCATGGATATGTATGTATGTGAACATAGTGTATATATAGGGTTTGATACTCTCCACAGTTTTAAGCTTCCTCTGGGGGTCTTGGAAATTATGCCCAGCAGGTAAGTGGGACTACTGTAACTATTTTATAAAACCACAGAAAGGAGGTTTATTAAAAAAAAAAAACAACATTTGGTCTCACAGTTAGATGGAAGCAAATGTCAAATGTAAAGCCAATAAAATTACACCCCCCCCCAATCATTAAGGTAGACCCTACCAATTAATTCTCCACAGCTCAGAGGAAGGAAAAGAATGATGCAATTCTTGATCTTTATAGCAACCGGATCATGCCATTATTTGTGCTGAGTTCTGTTGTTATGCCGAAAGGCCTCTGTTTGGGGGAGAATGTATATAACTCATAATTTTCAGACTACAGCGCTATGTCACGGGACTCTAAAGCCTCATGTCCCCAAGCCTGGAATGTTAAAATGATTTCAACTAATATCAGGACTCTGGTTGCTCTACTTTAAATCCACTTGGGGACATTCAAATCAGGTTTCCTAAAAACACTTATTTGATCCTGTCACTCCTTTATTGTAGCCAGAATAGAGTCCAAATTCTCCCTTTGGAGATCAAGATCCGCCACAAACTGGCCTCGTTTTCATTGTCAGAACTTATCTCCGACTTGTTTCCACTGGAGCTCTCTGTCCCAGGCTAATCTCCTCACTGTCACAGATATCTCAGCACATCCCCTCCCTCTGCTCATTGTTTTTCTTTTTCCACCAATCCAATCCTACCCCTCAAGGATGCATTCTTCTAGCCCACGTCCCTCTCTTCCCAGAGTTCCGCTCTGCAATTTATTAACTAAAAGCACTGCTTTGGTGATTTTATTGCACAGCCTTCAATTCTTTACCAGCTGATCTTGATATAAATGCACTCTCTTCATAAATCATGAGCCCCCTGAGAGCAGGGGTCATGTCTCACTCATCTCTCATTTTCCCCTCGTACCTTCCAAATAATGAGACAGGTGTTTACTAGTACTTGACAAACACTTTTCTGGAGGGAAAAAAAGTGACCATTTGGATTATGTGAATATAAACACAAATTCAAACAAAAGTTGAGCTCACAGTGTCCTCCTGTATAAAAGGTTAAAACTGAATAATGCAGAGCAGTTGCTGGTAATTTGGGGTCGTCTTTGGTCTCATTGGTTGCCTGAGGCTGCTAGATAAATTTGTGTTCTTATTTTAGGTTAATTCTCATTTATAAAACATTCACTGATTTTCATTTGAACTGGGTTTTTCAGACATAGCTTAGATACAACAGTAAAATAAGCTATAATACATCAAGAGATGTATTATTGAGAACTTGAAACTTCAAATTATCACAGACCTAGGGGGACTCAAGTAAAAGCTGCAGTTTCATCTGAAAACCAAAATCTGGAAATAACTTTTTTAAAAGAGAGAGTGCATTTTTTATATTTTTATTGATTTCAGAGAGGAAGGGAGAGGAAGAGAGAGATAGAAACATCAATGATGAGAGAGAATCATTGATCGGCTGTCTCCTGCATGCCCCCTACTGGGGATAGAGCCACAACCCAGGCATGTGCCTTGACCAGGAATCCAACCATGATTCTCAACCACTGTACCACACTGGCCAGGCTGGAGATATATATATATTTTTTCAATATATATATTTTAATTGATTTCAGAGAGGGAGGGAGAGGGAGAGAGAGAAACATCAGTGATGAGAATCATTGATTGGCTGCCTCCTGCACGCCCCCTACTGGGGATTGAGGCCACAAGCCTGGCATGTGTCTTAACCGGAATCAAACTCAAGACCCTTCAGTCCACAGGCTGGTGCTCTATCTACTGAGCCAAACCAGCTAGGGCTGGAGATTATCTTTTTAAAGAAAGGTACAGAGAATTTATTCAGGTAACAATTTGCAAACTGGGAAACATAGCCCTTGGTATGAACCAAGAAAATGTTCCAAAATGGAGGGGATAGGACAGGGTTTATAAAGGCAAAAGTTGCAAGGAGCTGATGATCAAAGAGATGGGTTGCTGGGGGAATGGATCATAAACTTCCATCATGTGCTTTTTGATTGGTGGGGGCAACTGGACTTTCAGTGACTCAGTGATCTAGCAAGTGAAGTTGTGAGGTGAGAACAATGGGTAATATATGATTAAGCATTTATCAAGTCCTAGTTTTGGCCCAGGCCTATAGACAAGAGCTTTCTTTGATCACACAATTACAGTACAGGGAGTATTATTTAACAACGAAGCAAGGACTACAATTTATCACACAGTACAATCGGTAGAGGCATGGGGGCCTGGAGGGAGCCCTGGGGTTGGTGGTTGGGATCTGACTGCAGGCAGTTTCAGAGCCCAAAAAGGCCAAGTTATACTCTGCAAGTAGCTTAAGAGCTCAAGCTGCAAAAAAAATCTAAATTTGGTCACAAGAGATGATATTAAAGTTTTTATAAATATTCACACCACAGGACCAACAAAATATAATTAATTCTATATCTCGTTTTTATTTGTTTTTTTCATGAAATTATACAGTGGAAGGATGGAATTCTGGGTATGTTTCTGACAGGGTGAGACTTGTGCTCTTAGTTTAAAAGCTATAAAGTCTAAAGAGGTCATATTATCTTTAGGGTAGAAGTAAGGGAAAATTAAAAATTTAGGAATGAATTTGATGCAAATTTTGCAGACTGGCTAAAAAATCTAGGCAAGTACCATGATGTCTTTAGTTTTTTTGTTTGGAATCAGGTGAGCTGATATGTAGATTCTAACTTTAACACAAAGCAGAACATAATAAGTAATTTAATAGGATACTAAAACACTATGTCAGAGGGGAAAAAGAGGTTAAATCCAAGTGGAACTAGTAAAATCTTCATGAGTTGATGACATTTTAAGGACAAGTTGAGGTATGAGTACAAGAGAAGAGTAAAACTCCACCTGAGAAACAGCATGCATAAAAGGTGTGTGGAGCCTAAGGGCATGGTACTTGAGACAGCAAAATGAGGCTGAAACAAAGGTAAACTGAGGAAATAATAGGACAAAGGGTTGGAAAAGTGAGGTCATAAGCCACCTTATTATCATGCTAAGGAATTTGTGAACAAGAACCACCTAAATGTTCTGAGGAGGGGACAAAATCTGAACTAGGCTGATTTCAGAAGATGATGATAACTGTGTGAAAATTCAATTAAATTTCAGTTAGGCAGGAGGGGGGGGTAGGGAGAACAAGGTAAGTAAGTATCTTTATGATAGTATAGAACAAATTCATCCAAAAGGATGATTACGAATTGTGTTTCTCATTCACAGGAGAGGGAAAGTATGGGGGGGGGGAGAGAATATGAAAGTACTTGAGCACATTTTAGAGCTTAAATTTGAGTTAAGAGCAGCATAAAGATAGAGATGACTGTGAGCTGAATTTGGGACACTTTGATTAAGGTCTTTCCCAGCCATCCCTTGGGAAAAAAATACAAAGGTAAGGGCTAGAGATGCATAAAAGAAAATACTCTTTAAGAGTAATTACAGGATTCTATAAAATGTGTGTCTGATAGCTAGAATGCTGATTCATTCTAAAAGACGTTGGGCAAGTCAGTATTTTAATCTTAATTTATTTTGCTTCAAGTTGAAATAAGATGCCAGTGTCCTTTATTCTTCATGAAGGACAAGAGGAATTTCATGGTCCTCATCTGTATTCCATATCCCTACCGGAGAAACAAGAATTCTCTTGATACATCTATCTTTCCTGTACCTCCAGATAGGTGTCTTTGCACATCTAGTCTGTTCATCTGAACTGCTTTTCATCCCCATCCCCTTTATGTATTTGTGCTTACATCATTTTCTTGTCAATTCCAGGGCTAGCACTACAATTCTTTTGAACGCCTCCAAATACATAGATTGATGCTGTTTTGTCATATGAATAATTATATTGATGTCAACAAGCAAATAAGGCTTCTCCTTCCCCTTGTTTGTTTATTTTACATGGGTGCACAAATATCATAGTGCACCCATGTACAGAATATTATAGGTCTCAGTAATGTGTAGTTATTGGCTTGTAGGTTCTTTAATTCAGTTTTAAATTATTTATTCAAGAATACGGAGGTTAAGCCCAGCTGGTGTGGCTCAGTGGTTGAACATCAACCTATGGACCAGGAGGTCATGGTTGGATTCTGGTCAGGGCCCATACCTGGTTGTGGGCTCGATCCTCTCAGGGGGACCCATACAGGAGGCAGCTGATTAGTGATTCTCTGTCATCATTGATATTTCTCTCTCTCCCTCTCCCTTCTCTGAAATCAATAAAAAATATATTTAATTTTAAAAAATCAAATTAGCTGCATATTTAAATGCCTGTTTGTCTATTTCTCTTCCTCTCTACAGATCTTCATAAACAATGAGTGGCATAATTCAGTGAGTGGCAAGAAATTTCCTGTCTTTAATCCTGCAACGGAGGAGAAACTCTGCGAGGTAGAAGAAGGAGATCAGGTGAGTTTCCTAAAACTAGTTTCATTTTATGCCAAATTTTTTGCATGTTTTCATGAGCCACAAGCACCATTTCAAGTTCAAGTAGACATGTCATGAAAATATGGTTTCTGGGGCCGTCTCTGGGAAGGTACTCTTTTTAGTCACGTTTACAAATGATGATGTAATAGCAGAATATAAAGCTTGAATAAATTACTCAAGGGGACATTGTTCATAAATGATGAAATCAGCATTCACATGCTGTCCTTTGATCCCAGAACTTGTGACTGGCAAGGCTACTGCCTTACCTTGTAATTATTACAAATAATTACACAGGGTAAATTAAATAGCCTGGGGAGTGCAGAGAGTAAAAGCCTTCAGATTTTTTTTTAGCTGAACACGTACCTTAAAAAGTGTATGTGTTCACAGTCTAATTTGAAATGATTTTCTGAGATTTATTTTGTATATTGTAAAAAATAAAATAAAGAAGAAGAAGAAAAAAGAAAGAAATGAGTTTCTGGTCTTGCATTGTCCAGATGTGGTCAAGATTTAAATTTCTGTCATGTGAGCTATAAAACGGTAAAAATGTTTTGTTGCTGCATGAAAAGACCACTGGGAGATGTAGTCAGCAAAACCCCAGGATAATAGCATTCATGACATGTTCCGTTCAATCACTGTAGCCGTCACATGTTCCTGTGGAGTCTTCATTCTGTCATTTCCTTCTTCCCAATCAATGAGATCACTAATTTCATGGTATTCAATCTTGCAGGCCTATTCTTAGATAGCGATAGACCTGAGGGGCTCCTCTGGGTTTAGGGAGGGCCCTGGATTCAGGTTGCAGTATTAGCAGTACAAGTTAAGACCCATGCCTTTCGGGGCAAGAGTGCAGAGTTTAGTCAGAGGGGTCAACAGCTTAAGGAATAGAAGCAGAATAGAATGGAGACACATGTCAACTGCTTTCAGAGTTCACTTTCTCTATATGCTGGAGTTATCCATGCATAAATTCTTCAAGGGCTTTTCCCTGCCTCTGGAGGGTGGGGAGGGAAAACAAACGCTTGTTTCTGGCCTCCATCCCAGCCCCCCCACTTCACCCCCCTTAACCTAAGAGTTTCAACTTCATCATGTTCGGTACCATCCCCCGAACATTACATGCTGTTCACTGCCTCTGTGCCACAGCGCAGTGCAGTCCTCAGGACGTAGTTTAAATCATCTTCTGTAGTAAGAAGTTCCACTTTTACATTTATCTTGTTTGAACTTCTGTTCCTTTTTGGGTAAAATGGGGAGATTGCTGTCCTGAGAATTGGTATTTCTGACCATTTCTCAGGTGATGCCGATGTTGCTGGTTGGGGTCAGGGTGGGGGAATACACTTTAAGAACCTGATCTAAGGTATTAAACAACACCTTGTATCTCCTCTCAAGTGTTCACATTTAATAAGGTGCCTGGACATTGACTGGTAAGAAAATTGATGATTGGAAACTGCTGTGATAATCACTTTGCCCCTCTAAGAGATGTTACAAAACCAAACGCAGGCACAGGCATTCTGATGACGCCTGGTGACATATTCTAGTAGACCCATAAGTCTGTGTCCTGTGAGCCATTCCCAGAAATCAGGAAAAAAAATTTATTCTTCACATTCAACAAAGAAGCATAGTTTCTATCAGAGACTTCCAGAGATGTGCACAGAACTCCATTACCTCAAATGTCTGCCTCGTGGCTTGAGCGGCTCTGTCAACACTTGGGAGGTGATAAAAGTAAGAAAGGTCTAGGTGAGGGCACAGTGGAGCCCTTGACAGCTGCCTACTCTTTCTCTCTAGAGCAGCGGTTCTCAACCTGTGGGTCGCGACCCCTCTGGCGGTCGAACCACCCTTTCACAGGGGTCGCCTAAGACCATCCTGCATATCAGATATTTACATTACGATTCATAACAGTAGCAACATGACAGTTATGAAGTAGCAACAAAAATAATTTTATGGTTGGGTCACAACATGAGGACCTGTATTTAAAGGGCTAGAAGGTTGAGAACCACTGCTCTAGAGGTACAAATGCCACTCAGGAGGACACGGCAGAGCTGTTTGCAGGTTGCAAGTAACAAAAGAAAAAAAAATCTTGATGCTTTAGCTCTAGGGCCCAGACATTTTGCTTTGCTACTTACTGGCTTTCAGGTTTAGTTTCACCAGTAAAACAAACCTGAGCCTGGAGTGCCCGTAGAAATCTCATCAGGCGATCTGAGGTCTTCTTGGCATTGTTGGTGGAATTTACTTTCTTCCTCAAGTGCAGTGAGGGTGAGCTGATGATCATACCTGAAGCTTCAGAAATATTTGTCATTTATTTGCTTCACATTTACTGACGACTACTCCTACTCATAGGAGAGCAGAAAATCTGTGCAAGTGTAGATCAAGGGCACTCATTCGCCTCCAGCAAAGCTTCACATCAGGCCATGGTGCTGATCATGTTGGCTGGATACTTGACACGCAAGTTAAATTGTTTATGATATAAAATGCTCATGGTTGGGCACTGTTCGCTTAACATCCAGCACGCTTGTCATCGCATTCTCTTTTAGAATGAGCTACTAACATGTCTTTTTAAGTAATTATTCCTGTTTTCACAATTTTGGTGATAAAAAAATGTATAATAACTCCTAACACTGCTTAGCCAAAGGTAGAAATCTGCTGAATTACGTAGTCAGAGTAAACCTAACATACTGGAACTGACTCTTCAGATAATGAGCCAAGAGGGTTTAAGGATTTAATTGATGAGTAGGATGGAATTAACAATGGGCTATATACTGCCTTTCAATGGCATTATAAAGAAAGGAGGAGGGGCAAGAACAAATGGAGGTTACAAAGCAAAGCACAGATGTGGGTGGGAACTGTTTGCTTTTCCCTTCGGTGGCTCTTTTAGGCTACACTGACTAATACTGAAAACCGCTTTTAATACTAAAGCGTGACATGACAAATAATTGCTGGGGATAAAAGTAAATGTCCATTAAAGTAAGTGCAATGACAGGTGTAAAAGTGAAACTGATTGGGTAGCTATTCTCTCCAAATCTGAATGAATTCAGTATAGAAATGCACAGCCTTCGAGTTTCATCCTTCTGTGACTATGTTTACAAGGCATTTGCTATTTCATCATCATTTGCATTATGTTCACACATTGAGCTTTGGCCCCTTACCTCTAAAAAGGAACATTTTTAAACCCTGTGCAGTAAAAATGGTAGCAAATTTGACTTTCATGTACCAAATTGTGTTCTGCTTAATTAAAAAATTATGACCTTGAAAAATGTTAGCCCTAGAATAAAAATCCAAGAAATGCTAGTCCTGGCATTTAAAAAATGAATACTTTTATATCTAATAGTTTCATTTAATGTAAAAGTTTTGTTATATAATTAAATCAATTAAAATATGATTTATTATTTACATGTCAATATAAGCAAATTATTTATATAAGGAGCATCTTTATAAAAATCAATGTAACACAGTAAGTTTATAAAATAAATAACAAATTATTAAATATTTATTAACTGCTGATTTTAGGCATGGAACAGTAAGGAATGTGTTATAGCTTATACTAGAGACAGAAATATATATATTCACTGCAAAAAGAGATCATTATCAGCATAGTCTTACACAGCTATAAAACTGGATTTAGGAGTCAGAGATAGGATCACATTTTATAGAATGGATTTCATGCTGTGTTTCCTGTCTTGTAAAACAGGGTCTATGATGCTTAACTATAGCAGTATTAGCTTTAGTGCCTAGAGCTCAGTAGACTCTTAACCAGTTAACTGCCACGTGTCCCAAACGGAAATCATCCCCATTTCTTCCATATGCGCTGGGATATGTATGAATTTAGTTACCATAATTTTCTTTACAAACCCAGAGATGTCACTAACAAGTCTGATTTTAAAAATTGGACGACCAGAGTTGATAGCGGGGTTTGCGGCTATAGACTCGCGTGGTGTGTGGGGAAGATCCACTTGCTTCTGTAGACACTTATGGCGTACAACGGGTTAACTATCAAGCGGGATTAGTCTGGCCAGGGTTTAGGTAGGTTGTGATATTTCAGCTGGGTCTTAAAGAATATATAGGACTTTGAAGGTAAAAGGGGTATGCTGGTAGAATGTTCTAGGCAATAATTGCAAAAGCAAAGGTGAAGAGTTGGGCCAGATAGAGTAGAAAAAAATGTAAACGGAGGTTTGAGTAGGTGAGGGTGGGGCCCAAAATATTGGGCCTTGAATATCAGAAAGAAGAGTTTGGCCTTAGGATTATAGGCAAAAGAAGGGCCGTTGCAAATGTATGAAAAGGAAGGTGATAAGACAAAAATATTTGCAGATTAGCCTGGTAGAAACAGGCCAGGCTGTACGGGGAAAGAAGAGAATGAATGGATTTGTGAAGGCTAACAACAATATGAGATAATAATGGCCTAAAATAATACAGAGCGGTGAAAACTGAAAGGAAGGATTATAATATATTACAACTGCTGAGAGTTCTTTTAAGGTTGTTTTGACTGCTACAACTACAATAGCAATTGCTACCATTTAATGAACTGTTAACATAATGTATGTTACATAGAAAATATGATTCAAGTGTTACCTTACTTAATCTTCAAAACAACTCTGTGAGGTAACATCCCCATTTCAAAGATAAGAAAACTAAAGCTTAGCAAAGTCACATCACAATACATTTCACTTCAGCATATTTTTTACATTTTGCAATATATTGCAGTGCTTGTTTTGTTGTATATTTTGTTGTATATTTCTCCCAGTCTGTTGGAATTTTCAAAACAGCAATCTCTTTACATCAGTATTTTATCATTAGCAGCCTGATGATAAGAAAGCTACAGAATAGAGAATTTAGCAGATCTTTATATGGTTGGATGGATGGAGGGATGGGATGGATGATGGATGGATGACTCAAAGCTTACATAGCTAATATGTGAGGAACCAGTGTTCACACGTACGGGTTATTTTGTTTCAAAGCTATATGTTAACTACCATTACTTTATTTCTGTTCCTACAAGATAA